TGAGGACAAGGTTCCTCACTCTGAGGACAAGTTTCCTCACTCTGGCGACAAGGTTCCTCACTCTGAGGACACGGTTCCTCACTCTGAGGACACGGTTCCTCACTCTGAGGACACGGTTCCTCACTCTGAGGGCACGGCTACTCACTCTGAGGACAAGGTTCCTCACTTTCAGGACAAGGTTGCTCACTCTGAGGACAAGGTTACTCACTCTGAGACAAGGCTCCTCACTCTGAGGACAAGGTTCCTCACTCTGAGGACAAGGTTCCTCACTCTGAGGACAAGGTTCCTCACTCTGAGGACAAGGTTCCTCACTCTGAGGACGGCGTTTTTCATTCTGAGGAGAAGGCTCCTCACTCTGAGGAAAAGGTTCCCCACTTTCAGGACAAGGTTGCTCGCTCTGAGGACAAGGTTCCTCACTCTGAGGACAAGTTTACTCACTCTGAGGACAAGGTTCCTCACTCTGAGGACAAGGTTCTTCACTCTGAGGACAAGGTTCCTCACTCTGAGGACAAGGTTCCTTATTCTTAGTACAAGGTTCCTCACTCTGAGGACAAGGTTCCTCACTCTGAGGACAAGGTTCCTCACTCTGAGGACAGCGTTCCTCATTCTGAGGACAGCGTTCCTCACTCTGAGGACAGCGTTCCTCGCTCTGAGTAAAGCGTTCCTCACTCTGAGGACAGCGTTCCTCGCTCTGAGTAAAGCGTTCCTCACTCTGAGGACAGCGTTCCTCAATCTGAGGACAGCGTTCCTCACTCTGAGGACAGCGTTCCTCACACTGAGGACAGCGTTCCTCACTCTGAGGACAACCTTCCTCACTCTGAGGACAGCGTTCCTCACTATGAGGACAGCGTTCCTCACTCTGAGGACAGCGTTCCTCACTCTGAGGACAGCGTTCCTCATTCTGAGGACAGCGTTCCTCACTCTGAGGACAGCGTCCCTCACTCTGAGGACAGCGTTTCTCACTCTGAGGACAGCGTTCCTCACTCTGAGGACAGCGTTCCTCATTCTCATTTCGTTCCCAATACTCATTTCGACGTGGTATCGACGACCAAACTCCAATTCTGAGATTCTCGACTCTTTTGAAATCTTTCTTCAAAACATTGACGCAGAAAATAAAGAAATTATAATAACTGGAGACTTTAATATAGATTTAATGCCCAGTGAGACCGAGAATAGTAAGGCAAAAAGGCTTAAAGAATTACTAAACACATATCAATTGTCTCAACTTATTAAAAAGCCTACTAGAACAACAGAATCAACGAAGACGCTCTTAGATTTAATAATTTGTAAAACTGACGACCCTAAAACCGCTACAACGGACGTTGTTGAGCTAGGTATAAGCGACCACAACCTAGTCTACACTTGTAGAAAGGTCGGAATATGTAAACAAAAACCCAAAATTATTGAAACAAGGCAATACCATAAACTAAATAACGCGAAATTCCAAAACGATTTAAAACAAGCTTTACTACATATTAATGAACATTCAGATCCAAATACGGCCCTACAGGAATGGAACAGAATTTTTCTACTGATAGCTGATATAAATGCTCCTATACGATTGAGAAAAGTGAGAAGTGACCGACAACCGTGGATGACTGATGAAATTAAAAAACTGAGCTTTCACAGAGACTACTTAAAAAAGAAAGCAGTCATGTTAAATTCCTCTGCCTTTCATAGTTCATACAAAAAATGTAAAAACAAAGTAACTAAACTTATTAGTAATGCAAAAACTCACTACTTTAGAACCAATCTCGAAAACAGCAAAAGTTGCAAAGAAAACTGGATTCACATAAACAAACTGCTAAACCACAAAACGGTCAAAACTCAGACGATCAATAACATTAAATTTGGAGACCAAAATATTACAGGTGATATCAACATAGCAAATACAATTAATAACTACTTTGTAGAAATTGGACCCAAACTTGCATCCGTTATTTCTCCTACAGACATAGACCCTATACAACCTATTCAGCCTTGTAGATCTGAATTTAACTTAAGAACAATAACAACGACAGAATTAATTCAAACAATTGGGAAAACTAATTTAAACAAGGCCCCAGGTCTAGACAAAATACCAATTAAACTAATTAAACTAGCAGGAGATGCCATTCACGACTCCTTACTACATATCTTTAACCTTGTACTGGGCACTGGCATTTTCCCAGATGATTTAAAACTTGCTAAAATAATACCTATTCATAAAGAAGGTGACAAGGCGGAATGCGGAAACTACCGGCCTATATCTGTAATTTCTACTGTCGCCAAAATCCTTGAAAAGATTATATACGACCAATTAAGTTCATATATCAATGACAACGACATCATTTGTAAACAGCAATTTGGCTTTAGACCAAATCATTCTACAGAAACTGCCCTTTTAAAATGCACAGATCAATGGCTACTCAACATGGATAAAGGAATGGCAAATGGAGTGCTATTTTTGGATCTTAAAAAAGCGTTTGACACGGTTGATCATTCTATTCTCCTACAAAAGCTATACCAATACGGTATAAAGGGTACTCCTCTAAAATTACTAGCATCTTACTTAAACAACAGAAAACAAGTTTGTGTCATTAATAATAACAAATCAGGCCAAGAAACAGTTCAATGTGGAGTACCACAGGGTTCCAATCTGGGACCATTGCTATTCTCATTGTACATAAATGATTTACCAATGTGCCTTGAGTATACACAAGCATCCATGTTTGCTGATGACACCAATCTATCATGCACAGGAAGGACCCCAGCCGAAATCGAGCACAAACTAAACGCTGACTTATCCAATGTTAACGACTGGTTAGAAGCAAATAGGTTGACATTGAATGCAGACAAAACAGAATTTATGATAATAGCCTCAAAAAGAAAACTTAATCAATTTCGCACTGATATTCGTATACATATAAACGGATCCATTATTAAACAAGTTAAGCAAAAAAAAACCCTTCGGTATTACAATTGATAACGAACTAAGGTGGACTGAACACATTAATGAGCAATGCAAAAAACTTTCAAGTGCAATAGCTCTGCTTAGAAAGGCAAAACCACACGTACCTTACAACGACTCACTCCGTATTTACAATTCCCTGGTAGTTCCTTACTTTACATACTGTTCGACAGTTTGGAACGATGGAAACAAAACAAATTTGGAAAAACTTTATAAATTACAAAAGCGAGCCGCTCGTATAATTACTGGATTAAACTATGAAACAAGATCAAAAACAATCCTCCAGAGTCTAGGTTGGCATCCAATTAATAACATTCTTAAAAAAAGAGACTTTCTAATTACGTTTAAGGCTACCCGAGGTATAGCGCCGGAGTGCATCAGTAATATGTTCTCCTACTGTGATAATAGAAGTCACCACATGCGGAGCAACGGGCGGAAACTAACTCTCGATAAACCTAATAGATCATTTATGAAAAAGTCATTTTCATATCGAGGAGCTTCCGCCTGGAACTCATTACCTAACGAAATCTTAGACGTTCACGAACAGTTGACGATACATTCTTTTAAAACTAAGCTCAACAATCACCTACGTTGAAAAAAAATATCCAATTGTAAAGACTCCTAGTCAACTACACTATTTTGTAAATACTTATACTATTTTGTAAATATTTATTTTGTACTTTATTTTATGTAAACAACCCCTTTAAAAGCAGCGTAGGCTGAAGGTTTATTGTTTGTAAATAAGTTTTAATAATAATAATAATAATAATAATTCTGAGGACAGCGTTCCTCACTCTGAGGACAGCGTTCCTCACTCTGAGGACAGCGTTCCTCACTCTGAGGACAGCGTTCCTCACTCTGAGGACAGCGTTCCTCACTCTGAAGACAGCGTTCCTCACTCTGAGGACAGCGTTCCTCATACTGAGGACAGCCTTCCTCACTCTGAGGACAGCGTTCCTCACTCTGAGGACAACGTTCCTCATTCTGAGCACAGCGTTCCTCACACTGAGGACAGCGTTCCTCACTCTGGGGACAGCGTTCCTCACTCTTAGGACAGCGTTCCTCACTCTGAGGACAGCGTTCCTCACTCTGAGCACAGCGTTCCTCACTCTGAGGACAGCGTTTCTCACTCTGAGGACATCGTTCCTCACTCTGAGGACAGCGTTCCTCACTCTGAGGACAGCGTTCCTCACTCTGAGGACAGCGTTCCTCACTCTGAGGACAGCGTTCCTCACTCTGAGGACAGCGTTCCTCACTCTGAGGACAGCGTTCCTCACTCTGAGCACAGCGTTCCTCACTCTGAGCACAGCGTTCCTCACTCTGAGGACAGCGTTCCTCACTCTGAGGACAGCGTTCCTCACTCTGAGGACAGCGTTCCTCACTCTGAATAAAGCGTTCCTCACTCTGAGGACAGCGTTCCTCACTCTGAGGACAGCGTTCCTCACTCTGAGGACAGCGTTCCTCACTCTGAGGACAGCGTTCCTCAATCTGAGGAAAGCGTTCCTCACTCTGAGGACAGCGTTCCTCACTCTGAGGACAGCGTTCCTCACTCTGAGGACAGCGTTCCTCACTCTGAGGACAGCGTTCCTCACTCTGAGGACAGCGTTCCTCACTCTGAGGACAGCGTTCCTCACTCTGAGGACAGCATTCCTCACTCTGAGGACAGCGTTCCTCACTCTGAGGACAACGTTCCTCATTCTGAGCACAGCGTTCCTCACACTGAGGACAGCGTTCCTCACTCTGGGGACAGCGTTCCTCACTCTTAGGACAGCGTTCCTCACTCTGAGGACAGCGTTCCTCACACTGAGGACAGCGTTCCTCACTCTGAGGACAACGTTCGTCACTCTGAGGACAGCGTTCCTCACTTGGAGGACAGCGTTCCTCACTCTGAGGACAGCGTTCCTCACACCGAGGACAGCGTTCCTCACTCTGAGGACAACGTTCCTCACTCTGAGGACAGCGTTCCTCACACTGAGGACAGCGTTCCTCACTCTGAGGACAACGTTCCTTACTCTGAAGACAGCGTTCCTCACTCTGAGGACAGCGTTCCTCACT